AATCTACATCGGTTTTCCAGTTATACGTATTAACAACATAAAATTGTGGCATTCAGGTAACACTAGAGTTGTAAATCAGAAAGAGCTTGAATTCTTCCGTGAAGAGCTACAAAGTCGACTCTCAAGCAATTATAATGTCATAATGAAGGAGAGAAAGTTGCCAATGTCCCTATTGAATGATCATCAGAAGGTAAACCATTAGTCAAGCAAGAGTTCACCTTATGATCTTTATTTACCCTTTCTAATACTGGTTTTTTTCACCTATTTTGCAGCAAGCAAGAGTTCACCTTCTTGATACAGAGCCATTTGCTGATGCATTTGGACCAAAGGGGAAGAGAAAACGTCCAAAGCTAGCTGTCTCTGATTATGAATCATTAGCTAAGAGGGCCGATGGTTCTCAAGGTAAAATAACCTTATCTAGACATGAAAATCTATCCTTTGTTTTTCAATTTTGGAGTTGATTTTATGCAACTCCTTGTCTTCTTCTAGTGAATTGCTAATTGATCAAAACTTGCACTAACATGTGTGCCAACTCTGTAGATGCTTTTGAAGAAAAACATGGTGATGATCCAGAGGATGCAAATGCAGATGGATTCAGGGATCTTGTTCGCCATACAATGTTTGAAAAGGGTCAAAGTAAACGCATTTGGGGTGAACTTTACAAAGTCATAGACTCTTCAGATGTTGTCATCCAGGTTAGTCTTCTTCTGCTACCAGCAACTGTAATTTTGTATAATTCACAATATCACTTCACATTATCAAATCATACTTGTTTTTATCAATTACAGGTACTCGATGCTAGGGATCCCCAAGGTACAAGATGCCATCATCTTGAGAAACATCTGAAAGAACATTGCAAACACAAGCACATGATTTTATTGTTAAACAAGGTAACAATGATTTGTTTTATGAAGTTTCCCAAAGAAAGTTAACTGATTATTGACTTTTCTTTTTGTATTTTCTACAGTGTGATTTGACACCTCCATGGGTTACAAAAGGATGGCTTAGGGTCCTATCTAGGGAATATCCTACACTAGCATTTCATGCAAGCATTAACAAGTCTTATGGAAAGGTAATAGTTGATATCATATTATCTACTCTGCATTATATAATTCCTGTCTAATTATGTTATTTTTATTTCTTATAGAACTCTCTTTTATCTGTGTTGAGACAATTTTCGCGTCTAAAAAGTGACAAGCAAGCAATATCAGTTGGATTTGTGGGGTATCCCAATGTTGGAAAATCATCTGTAATCAACACTTTGCGCACGAAAAATGTAAGTTGTATTTATTTTAGTGTTTAGAATTACAATGTGATGTCTTTTGTTAAATTATTTAACTATTTCTTTTTAATAAAAAGGTTTGCAAAGTTGCTCCAATCCCTGGGGAGACTAAAGTTTGGCAATACATAACACTCACAAAGAAGATATTCTTGATTGATTGCCCTGGTGTTGTTTATGGAAGCAGTGACACTGAAACTGATATTGTTTTGAAGGGAGTGGTTAGTTTTATCATTAGATTTATCATCCCTCTAAACCCTAGGATTTAGGGTTTCAAATTTTTTGACCTAAAAGATTCTTTTTGTTGTGATTGAATGTAAATAAGTTTTGTTATTGTTTAGGTGAGAGTTACAAATCTGCATGATGCAACAGAGCATATTGGGGAAGTGTTAAATCGTGTCAAGAAAGAGCACCTTGAAAGAGCATACAAGATAAAAGAATGGTATGTTTCATTTTTTTTGAACTATAGTAATTTCAACACTAATAAATTAAAAGTTATTCAATTTGTAAGTGGATTGTGTTTTGTGTAAAACAGGGTAGATGAGTATGACTTTTTGCTTCAGCTATGCAAGTTATCAGGCAAACTTCTGAGGGTAATTAATTCTCTATTCCAATTCCAATTGTCTACAGATGGAATGGAATCAGAAATGTTTACTAAAAAATAAAAGATATTGTATTGTGTGTAATAGGGAGGTGAACCTGATTTGACGACTGCTGCAAAGATGGTTCTTCATGATTGGCAAAGGGGTAAAATACCCTTTTTTGTACCACCCCCAAAACTAGATGACACGTCAGCAGAAGGTGAAAAGAAAAGTGGTTTAGAGAAAGATGATGTGGCTGTAGCTGATGAAAACAGTAAAGAGTTGGCTGCTAAAAAAAGCATTGAGAATATTGTTTCATCACAGCAGTTAAAGGATGTGCCTGTTCAAGAGGATTTGTTCACTGATAATGAGTTAAAAGGGGATGCAAATGAAATGGAGGAGGAATCGTAGATAGATTTTGGTTAAAATGGCAGTTTTGAGTGTTTTAGAGAAAGCTATCTTTATATGTACTTTTTCAATTTTAAGAGATTATCTGATTATTACAGTTTTAGTGACTTTGTTTGGAATATATTTTATTACAACTTATTACACTAGTTTTCATTATTTCATATTATAGTTATTTTCTGAAGGGATAATGTCACTATAACCAAACCAACTTTTGGGTTTTGGTTTAAAAGGTTCATTAAATTTGTATGCATTGTGGTAGGTGACATTGAACTGTATTTCATTAAATTTGTATGCATTGTGGTAGGTGACATTGAACTGTATATCTTTATTCATTCTTTTCTTGCATCATGCACAACTACTCCATAATGTATATATCTTATTTTCCTGTTTCTCCTTTATGATAAGCAACTTCTCTTTCTTGAACCCCTCTAGCTGCACTCGATGTTTTTTATTCTCAATATCTTTTTTTTTGTTAAAGTTGATGAGTTGGGAAAATTCAGAAACAGTCTTTAGTAGTTCTTCATGTTGTGGTGGTTGTGAATTGTGATGATGATGCTGATTTCTTCCCTTTCGTTCAGGCCTTTGTGGCTCTTCATAGTGAAAATTTTCATATCTTTGTTGACATGATGAAATGCCGAGAAATTGGGCATCCGAAGAGGTTATGCACTTGTTTTGATGATTGGAAATGCTCAGCCATGAGAGGGATGAAACTCCATTTTGGGCTACCTTAGACAAGTTCCCAGAAAGACATGTCTTAACCAATAACCACTACATTTTTTTTTATTTAATACTGTAGTATTTAAATAGATATTTATGTTATGTGACTACGAAGTATGATTTTTGCATAGTCAGTGATCATTTGTTGATAGAATTTAAAAAATTAACCATCTAGTAATATTAGCCTATATATATATATATATATAATATATATATATATATATATATATATATATATATATATATATATATATATATATATATATATATAGAGTGAGGTTCAATAGAGAACCATAATTAACCAAGGAACCAATCTTTTTTTCAACTTTTTGAACTTATTTTTTATCAAAAAAAAAAGTAAAAATACAGAAATTCATAACTTTTTATCCTTTTTCCAATGATATCAAATTCAATTTTTTTTACGTCAAATTCACAATGTGAATCTTTGAAAATTCACAATGTGAATCCGAAAAATATTTTTCACATTCACAATGTTAATATATGAATTTAGATATTTTTAGATTTTTTTTTCGATAAAGAATAAGCTCTAGAAATTGAAAAAAAGTTTTGGTTCCTTGAAGAACCAATAATTATGGTTCTCTATTGAACTTTTCCATATATATATATATATATATATATATATATATATATATATATATATATATATATATATATATATATATAGCAATGATCATTTGAGAACTCATATTTTCCTGAGAACCTGAAAACTAAAAGTGGACCGTTAGATTAAAAAAGTTAAGAGCTAAGATCTTTGATGGCAATTTTGTAAATAAATAGAAAAAAAACAAGGAAGGGTATCTTAATAAAATAAGATAAGGGCATTTAAGGGAACATGTAATTAGCTCCCCAAATAAACATATCAGATCGTGATTAGTCTTTCTATCGCTCGTTCCCTTCTCCGATTCTTCACCGACTCCATCGACCTCCTCCCTCTTCGTAGACCCCTCCCTCCCCCCTCTAACAACCACCCTACCTCTGTTAACAACCACCGCCTTCATTGAAGATTCTCCGATGATTGATAGATTTAACATCGCGGTGGTTGCGTCATTCTTCCCTCTCGAAGTTTCGTGCCCTAATAAATCAACCAGAGGTCTGATCGCTCCGAACCTCCCGATTCTCCTTCGCCTCTGAGCTTCCGGTCTCTCAGCCAGAGGACGACTCGATGTTCGGAAGCAGCAACACCGTCCGTTCAATCCAGAGTCATCACTTTCTCGCCTTCAGATCTGGATCCACAATCGATCTATATTTCGTAGTCGTTATCATCAATCGATATGGAATCCAACATCCTCCAATAATCTAGGCTTAATTGTCGTTGATCATCAACAATTCATGCTTAATTGCTGTATGAATCGTTACTTCCTTCCAAGTTCGAACCCTGCACTTCTGTCGTCGACCATCCATAAAATCGACCCTGTGAGGATTTCAAATCAGGTGATTATCTTTCAAATTGGTGCTTAGTTCTTACATTTTTATTGTTGTTTGAAGGTCCGATACAATTCTGAATAAGGTCTGATGCAATTCTGATTTATAAACCCGAACCTGTAATTTCTTTTAGGCAACCACTTATGAAACCAAAACCTATCAAATGTTCTTTGTGAGGAAGAAAAAGATTACCCCTTTTTGCAAAAATATCTACAATTGCTTACCAATTTCGCCATATCTTGAAATTCAAATTATTTTTACTTTCTATTTTCAGGTTATGTGAGGAGGATGACTCATCGTATCCCATGAATACAATTCGGTTATACGCACCCAGTTAGTTTTGAGATTACAAAGTAAGTTTAATGTTGCACACCAACTGTTTGATAAAATGCTTAAATCAGATTTTTGACCTACTCACACAATACCCATCATGTTGCATCTCGATTAACACCATGTACTCATGTAGTACCATTTAAGGTATCTGATATGACCAGTACCAATTAACTTCAAACATAATTGATATGTAGGATCCAATTCCAACATGATTCATTACAACCATCAACCCTCAGACAATGAAAGGTTTGTATAATATTTTTTTTAATTATTTACAAAAAAAAATTTATTTCGTCATGCAAACATTTGACAAGTATATTTTGTTATTCTATATTATTTTTTTTATAAAAAAATGTAACATCTTTTTTAACAAAGTAACCACATAGCTAGAATCTCATATGCAGACGGAACAGTGATAGGATGGATTCTCCTTCCGGAATTGAGGTACATACTATTACTCTAATACTCTTTACTTCTTGCCAATTACCTCAAGAATCAGTGATTCCAATGTTCTCTTTTTCTAGAGACAAATTACTAACATCCGACGAAGTTGATGTATTGAATGGCTATCATGAGATGTGGATAAAAGTGCATTTTTGGTAAAAGTCTTCTCATTTCACATTTTTATTTACTTTTTTTTATAAGAAATAGCTAAGAAAGCGTTCCAAAAGTATGTCACTTGCATAAAAAAAAGAAAACTAACTATCTTCAAATCCTTCTCCTTGCAACCCACCCCACAGGGAACAAAAACAAAAATGTGCCAAGTTGACACTCTCTTCTCTGTTTGATAGTAATCATATGATTAAGTGCTTGATGAGAATATAGACCAATAATAATCATATGATTAAGGAAACTCTAAGGTCTGTTTCTCTTTTTTCTTTATTGAGTGTTATCTGTAAATGATGTTTCTTATTTGAGTTGAATGAACCGTCACTGACTATTTTACCCTTTTGTTTGGAACTAATGCGAATGAAAAATGGGTTATTTGTTTGATAATCGGTCTGAATGTCTGACAAAAAGATTACAAATTAACGAAATATCCAAACAAAAGTTAACTGATATAATAATGATATAGATTTTTAAATATTTGATATGAATAATTATATATTTATGAAGTATGTAAATAAAAAAGTATTAAATGTAACAAGTAATTACAACTTAGCAAAATTCTAAGGTTCCGAAACAGCCACATTAAGTCAAGTTATTTAATAGGAATCATTAACTGTCTGATTTACATTATTTGTTGTGTTTGTTATTTTTGACATGGATTTTATGAGTGATTAAGTGATGTGGTTTTGTATTGTAGATTGCACCAGATTGGAGGGAAGCTTTATCACTGAAGAACGCCATTGAAGATCGTATCACAAAAGGTGTTGTTTTTGTATTGTTATGGATTTGGTCATAAATATTTAACGTTTCCAATTCGTCTATTTTAATTATTAGTAATACTATTAGTAATCTTTTAGTTTTACACAAAAATGTAAATGTTTTTAGTAGATAAAAAAGTAAGGTTAATCTAAAAAATACATTGCCAAATATTTTTACAAAGCAGTTTTAATGTGGTTTGTTGGTTTGTCAGCCACATAAAGGGACACATAAGTTACTATGTAACTTGGAAAAAAGAAGAGGACCCTGCTGTGTTTACAGGCGACACACTGCTGGGTGGTGTCATTTCATGATATACATTTTCTGCTAAATGCTAGAAATAGCATTCTACTTCCATTTTTTATTTCTCATGTTGTATTTTTTTAAGTTTTTTGGTGGTTGTGGCAAGTTTTTGAGGGAACAACAGAACAGATGCATGAGTCACTATGTGTGACTTTGGCTTCTTTGTCAAAACCAACTAAAGTTTACTGTGGGCATGAGGTAAATTAATACTTATATTGTTTTTGTATTTGTTAGTTTGTACTAAAATTAATTAATACTAGATGTCATATTTTATACATGTCAGACACAATCTGGCCTTGCAACTATTCCATCAATCATTGAACAAGAATTAGAAACTAATCCATTCATGCGATCTAATCTACCTCAACTTCAGGTACTCTTGCTGTTTTTTGACTTTTTTAGGGAAATATGGAGGCAAACCTCGTCCTGGTGGTCCAAGATCTACCTTATGCATATCCTCACAGGTAAACCATTACCCTATCCATTCCTTCCAAACCGAAATTCTTTCCTGATTTGAGTTCTTAAGTTGATAGATTCAATCGACATTTTGCTCTATATCACAACACATGTATGTGAGTCATTCTCTTCAACAGGTTGGATGCAAAATGGGCTGCACATTTTGTGCAACTGGAAGTATGGGATTCAAGAGCAACCTCTCAACAACAGAGATTGTAGAACAATTAGTACATGCTTCTCGATTATCACCCATTCGCAATGTTGTTTTCATGGTAAATACCTCAAAAAAAACTTGTTTTCCTTGAAATTTATGTCACTACAACTGATACCATCATCTTGTATTCAGGGAATGGGAGAGCCATTAAACAACTACAATGCTTTAGTTGAAGCTATTCGAGTAATGACAACATTCCCTTTTCAGCTTTCACCCAAGAAAATTACTGTCTCAACGGTTTGTTTTGTTTGCTCCATTTTACATCCTCAATATTAGTCTTTTTAAGAACATTTCTGGATTCATATCTATCATTATCATAATTTCTTGTAGGTTGGAATAATTCATGCAATAAACAAGCTTCATGGTGACTTACAAAATATAAACCTAGCAGTGTCTCTTCATGCACCAGTTCAAGATATTAGGTGTCAAATAATGCCTGCAGCTCGCGCTTTTCCTTTAGAAAAACTTATGAATGATTTAGCAGAATATCAAAAGAAAAGGTAGCTCTTTTTTTGCTTCTTTTTTTAATTTCCTCAAAGTGTAAAATTACTAAAATACCCTTCTGGTATTGACTTTACAGTCAGCAAAAGATTTTCATTGAGTACATAATGCTGGATGGTGTGAATGATGAGGAGCAGCATGCCCACCAGCTTGGTAGATTGCTTGACACATTTGAAGTGGTGAGAATGAGATTCAAATTTGTTTTTAGAGTAAATTACAATTTTGGTCCCTGAGTGTTGCTGTTTTTTTCAATTTTGTTCCCAAAAACTTTTCTCCTGCAATTTTTGTTCTTATTTACATGTGATTCACATATGAATCACATATTATTCACATGTAAATCACATGTTATTCACATATGAATCACATATAAATCATATATGAATTAGATGTGATTTACATGTAAATCACATGTTATTCACATGTGAATCACATGTAATTCATATATGAGTTACATGTGATTCACATGTAAATCATATATGAATTAGATGTGATTCATATATGAATTACATGTGAATAACATGTGATTTACATGTGAATCACATCTAATTCATTTATGATTTATATGTGAATCACATGTAATTCATATGTGATTCACATGTAATTCATATATGATTCACATATAAATTACATGTAATTCATATATTAATCACATGTAATTCACATGTAAATCACAAGTGAATCACATATCATTTACATGTGATTCACATGTAAATCACAAGTGAATAACATATGAATTACATGTGATTCACATGTAAATCACTAGTGAATCATATATGAATTACGTCAATATGCACACATGCATTTTGTGTGAGTGGTCTTTGTTAATTATTTTTTTTATTTTCTTGTGAATTTCACATTTGAATCTTAAAAGATACAATCACATGTGAATATCACATTATATAATCACATTTGAATCTTACATGATATAATCACATGTGAATCTTACATGATATATACTTGTGCATTTTTATGAGTGTTCTTGCATTAATCAATTTTTTTTTAAATTTTCTTGTAGGTTTTGAAGAATTTGTTGAAAATATTGAATAGGTGAAAAATGATAAATTGAAGAAAATATAGAAATGCTGATATGAAGAAATGATAACATTGTGAATCTTTGTAGTTTTTTTATATTTTATTTTGTATCGAATAAAATACTTGTATTATGTTTATAGATTGATTAATAAAAATGAGATTTTTATAATTTACTTACGAATATTATAGTATAAGAAAAATGCATATATGCATTTGAAAAAATATGCATATATGCACCTAAAACGTTGATTTTTTTGTTCAAAAATTGCAGTTTTGAAAAAAATTGCACTTTTTTTTATAAAAATTGCAGTTTTTTTTTTTTTGAAAAAATGCAGTTTTTCTGAAAAAAAATGCAGTTTTTTTGAAAAAAAAATGAAGTGTTTTTGTAAAAAAAAAATACAGTTTTTTTTTCTAGAAAAAATGCAGTTTTTTTTTTAAAAAAAATGCAGTTTTTTTTTTGAAAAAAATATGCAATTTTAAAAAAAAAAAATACTTTTTTTCATTTTTTTTAAAAATTCATGTTTTTTGAAAAAAATTAAAAAATCTCCATTTTTTTAAAAAATCGAAAAATATTTAAAAAAAAAATAAATCCGAAATTTTGAGTTATTTTGTTAATTTTTAGACATTTATATTAATATATTAAATAACACAAAAAAGTTAAACATTAAATGAGATTGGTAAGATGACGATCATGTTCTTAACGAATTACTTTTGATCCAACACTTCACTTTTAGTTCTCGGGTTCTCGGAAAACTTTGAGTTCTCAACCGATCTCAACCCTATATATATATATATATATATATATATATATATATATATATATATATATATATATATATATATATATATATATAATAGGTGTGAGACCGTGTTTTACATGAGTTTATTAAAAAAAAATCAATATCAACTTATTAACATTAAAGAATTATTTATGGAAATAGACATTGACACCTATGGAAAGTTTGTATGAATGACAATGAATTTTGTGAATATAGATTGAATTTACGGATTTATAAAGAAAACAATTTTTGGTGTGATATTATTCATAGCATTGATTATTATTTATTTTAAGATTGATTTTGCATTTATTATGAGATTTAAGGGAATAATATGTGAGTATGTGACATTTATTTGTTCTGAACAAATAAGATAATTACATGTGGAAAACAATAAAATCAGAAAATGTCATTTGTCCAAATCAAAAAGAAAATGACGTGTGTCAAAAACATTTTCATTTATTAGGGAGGATATTGTGAATTTAGTAAACAAATGCTATAAAATTTGTTATTTCATTCTTAAATAACACTATAAATATAAAAATCGTTATCTTGCCTAAACAATAAATACTAATTTCTGTATTTGAAAAACACATGGGTCCAAGCACCCCGACACTATAACCGTTTTGGCACTATATAGAGTTGACTCAAATACTGTATCAATTTTAAATGTTTTGTTTGTATATATACCTACACTACACTTTCAAGTTTCAAATGCATGGGAACAACAGCCGCCCGCTTGGAGTATTTTTGTGTTCACTGTTCATGCAAGAGAATCAGAAAGAACGAACGTTCTACATTCCACGTGGAGGGAATCACGGAATGCGACTACTTATTTCTACAAATACCATATATACTTTTGTTTATTCGCTTTGGATTGTAGCGGGTGTAGTTTCTTGGGTATTTGCGAAAATTGCGAAATGGGTATCTTGAGTTTTCGTCAGTTCAATCTTATAAAACCTGTGAAATCACTTCTGGATTACAGTGGATGTAGCTCATCGAGTTTTGTCTGGGTATTTGCCAGCAGAACCACTTTTCGGTTTTCTTTCTGGTTCAACAAACAAAAAAGTGAATTTGGCAAATTTGGCAAATGTGGCATCTGTTCATTCATGAATCTTGAGAGCACGTAACCTGTTCGACTAAATGCCTATGAGAGGTTACATTAGAAGTTACGATTGTGAGAGAAAAAAAAAAGAAACTTTTGCATTGAAAAACAGGGTTTAATTAAGTCTAAGGAGTTGATCAAGGGTTTTAGTTTAATCAATTCTTCTTGTTCCTTTCATGTTTTGGAATAAGTTGCAGGGTGATCTTATCATCTTAAAAGTGGTAAAAAATATGTCTTCTGATGATGCCAAAGAAGACTCCAGATCTTTGGCTTTAACTCCAACATGTTCTATTGCTATAGTTATGACTATCTTTGTTCTTGTCTCTTTACTTGTGGAGGAATCAATTCGTTACTTGAGCAATGTAAGTTGATTCATATTTCATCATCCTTCTCTTTTCCCCTAAAATGAAAATTATATGAACATGATCTATAATGAATGTTCTTTTGCATGCCAGTGGTTGAAGAAAATGAAACGCAAGGCAATGCTTGCAGCTGTTGAGAAAATGAAAGAAGGTAATTGCTTTATCATATATGAAAGATATTAACAATATCTAATCTTCTACATCTTTCGCTATTCTCATAAACTCATCATCATCATCATCATCATCATCATGATGTGATTGTTGTCTTCAGGGTTGATGCTTCTTGGCTTCATATCACTCCTTCTTGCAGTTACCTCCAGTAGTATATCCAATATTTGTATCCCTTCAAAGTTTTATGATAGTGCATTTTATCCATGCAACAAGCCTGATAAGAATCAAGAAAACAAGGATCATAGTAAACAACAACTTTTGAACAAATTAAATCACAAAATCTGTCAAAAGGTGAGTTAAATATCTCTTATCATTATGTTATTTGAATATTTGAATCCAACCTTAGGGGCTGTTTTTTCTTTTCCTCACTAAGTCCTGTATTGGTAAAGTGGCTTAATGAGACTAAATGACCAATTCACCCTTACATTCCAAAAGTCAAATTTCACAATCCTTAATGTTCTTTTAAATGTACAGGATTATGAGCCATTTGTATCTGATGAAGGACTTGAGCAACTACACCGTTTTATATTTATAATTGCAATTACACACATATCATATAGCTGCTTCACCATGCTTCTGGCTATAGTGAAGGTTAATAATGTCTTTTTCTTTTACTCTTTCGAATAGTCTATGAATGTAAACAATCTTGATAATTTTTATCTTCACTATGGTAATCTTGCTAGATTCACCAATGGAGGATATGGGAAGATGATGCTCAAATGGATCAGAATGATGTCCTAACTGGTATATATTATCATTTGTGAATTTACCAATTTGCCCTCCTAAAATTTACTTGAATAAACTTGTTTTTTTTTATGCAGAGTTATCAAGATATGAGACAACAAAGAGGCAATCAGCAATTGTTGAATTCCATATGTCAAATCCATTGATTAGGAATGGCTTCTTGAGTTGGATGGTATAATACAAACTATAAGAGATGTTTTATATAATTTAAATATAATATAAATAAAACAAACTTTATTATATTTTTCACATGAACATCTACTTTTTATTTTACATTAAATTTGTAGGTTTGTTTTTTTCGCCAATTTGGAAGTTCAGTTGTTCGTGCTGATTACCTTATGTTGCGTAAAGCCTTCATCATTGTACAATTTTATTATTATTATTTTTTGTTTTTATATAATGTCCTCACATATTATATATTGATGTTTACTATTTATTTATTTTTGTTTTTCTTATTCAACAGAACCACAACCTCACATCGAAATTTGATTTCCACAGCTATATGATTCGCTCTATGGAAGAAGAATTTCAAAGGATAGTTGGATTGAGGTAAAACTAAAACAAATTTCTTTTATAAAAATTAATAATATTTTAGGGATATTAATTATTACCATGTGAAAAATTACTCATGTTATTCCTTGCAGTGGCCCTCTCTGGGGATTTGTTGTGGCTTTTATGTTGTTTAATGTGAAAGGTAAGGGTAAAATGGTCATTTAGCCTCATTAAGACTTTTTATTCAATCTAGAAATAAAAGACCTTGTGTATATATATACATCACACTTGTGTCAAAAAATTAATTAAATTTTGTACATTTTCTTTTTTTCAGGATCTAATCGTTATTTCTGGATTGCTTTACTTCCTGTTACTGTAAGTATTAATTATGTATATAATATTATAATTTCCCAAAAAAGATAAATTATTTTCTGATGATTTATGTTTATGTTCAGCTTGTTTTAATCATGGGGACAAAACTACAACATGTTATTGCTACTTTGGCTCTAGAAAGTGCTGGAATTACTGCATATTTTACTAAAACTAAGTTAAAGCCTCGAGATGAGCTTTTTTGGTTTAAGAAGCCAGGGCTATTATTGTCATTACTCCATTTTATTCTTTTTCAGGTGAAATATTCATTATTATTTATTTATTTTTCTTTCATGCATTCTTGTTGAATATTGGACTAACATTTCAGTGCTTGTTTCAGAATGCATTCGAGCTGGCTTCTTTCTTTTGGTTTTGGGTAATATTTTATTTTCTTAATTAAATTTGCTTCTGATTGTTTTTTTTAATTAAATGTGTGTTATGTTTTTCACAGTGGCAATTTGGATATAATTCTTGCTTTCTAAACCATCATTTGATCGTGTATTTACGCCTGATTTTGGGGTTTGCTGGACAATTTTTCTGTAGCTATAGTACATTACCATTGTATGCTTTGGTTGCTCAGGTATATTCATATAATAATAAAGATATATCAAGTAGAGTATGAGTTTCACAAATCACGAAATTGTTCATGATTTTTATCTATACTTTTTGTTGTTGAATTTCAATTAGTAATATATGATCGACACTATTGTTTCGCAGATGGGGACAAACTACAAAGCTGCATTAATTCCGGAGAGAATAAGAGAGACGATGAATGAATGGAGAAAGGAAGCTAGGAGAAGGAGAAGGAGGAGAAAGTTTTGCATGTACGGCGATGATTCACCTGCGATATCCGTGGAGGAATTGGACAACGGCGAGCTTCATAGTCCTCGAGCCGTTACAACGCGTAACCACCGTTTGGAAATCGAATTACAACCACCGGTCCTCCGCCAGTCTGCTTCCGTATCTTCTTCAGCTTCACCACGCTTTCTGTCGGAGATCATCACAAGAGCGTATTCCTTGCCCTCCCGAAACCACTCAAGTTAAAATTAGGGTTTTGTTAATAGCTAATTTGTAACATTTTATAGTAAACACGAAGGAAATTGACTTTGATTTCATATGGAACGATTGAGACATGAGACGAATGAGTTTTTATTTAATAGAGAAATTACATTTAAGCAAGACGCTATATCTTAAATTCTATGGTTTGGTGAAACGGAAATGTTGTTGTTTAGAAACGCCGCCCTAGGAACTAGTGTTCAGTCACAGATTCACTGTCTTCCTTTTTATGAACCTCATTCGATGGTAGACTTTCAGCATGTGGAGGATATTGCGGCCATGGAGGGTATTGTGGCCATGGAGCATAGGCTGGTGCTGGTGCAGGCGGACGAGTATACTGTGGTTGACATTCGAGGTCAGAGCAGTCCGTTCCAGGTTGAGAATTACATTCCGCTTGGTTACATCGTGGTTCAGGCTGGGGTGGGTAGGCTGGTTCTGGTTGGGCGGGTTGAGGGTTACATGCTGGGTGGTTACATACTGGTTCAGGCTCGGGTGGGTAGGCTGGTTGGGGCTGAGCCTGACACGCTGGGTGGTTACATCCTGGTTCTGGCTGTGGAGGGTAGAACGGTTCGGGTTGGGGTGGGTATGCTGGTTGAGGTTGACATGCTGGGTGGTTACATCCCGACTCGGGTTGAGGTGGGTAAGCTGGTTCGGGCTGGGGTGGGTATGCTGGTTGAGGTAGAGGTTGAGGTTGACAAGCTGGGTGGTTACATCCTGGTTTGGGTTGGGGAGGGTATGCTGGTTGGGGTTGGGGAGGGTAGAAGGGTTCAGGTTGGGGAGGATAGTTCGGTTCAGGTTGACACTCTGGATGGTTACATCTCGGTTCAGGCTGACACTCTGGGTGGTTACATCTCGGTTCAGGCTGGGGTGGGTAAGGCGGTTCAGGTTGTGGTGGGTAAGCCGGTTGGGGTAAAGGTTGAGGTTGACACGCTGGGTGGTTACATCCCGGTTCAGGTTGAGGAGGGTAAGCAGGTTGGGGTTGGGGAGGGTAGAAGGGTAAGGGTTCGGGTTGTGGTGGGTAGGCCGGTTGAGGTTGAGGCTGACACGCTGGGTGGTTACATCCAGGTTCGGGTTGGGGAGGGTAGAAGGGTAAGGGTTCAGGCTGGGGTGGGTAGGCCGGTTGGGGTTGAGGTTGACATGCAGGGTGGTTACATCCCGGTTCGGGCTGGGGTGGATAGAACGGTTGGGGTTGAGGTTGACACGCTGGGTGGTTACATCCTGGTTCAGGTTGGGGAGGGTAGGCTGGTTGGGGTAGGGGTTGGGGAGGGTAGGCTGGTTGTGGCAAGGGTTGAGGAGGGTATAATGGTTGTGGTGGGTAGGCAGGTTGGGGTAGAGGAGCATATGCTGGTTGACATTCTGGTGAAGGACAATTTGGAACAGGAATTGGTGGGGGCCGCCACACTGGAACAGGAATTACGGCCGGACGCCCACACTCAACTTGATCTGCATCCAAGCCCTTAAGTTCATCGCCAATAGGTGCACCGCTCATGGGTTCATGGTTAGACGACAATGGTTTGATTGCCGGTACAAGTACAGGTTCATCAGTAGCAGGTACAGATACAAGTACAGGTTCAGCAATAGCAGGTACAGATACAAGTACATGTTCATCAGGATCAGGTTCAGCAGCAAGTCGTCTTGCAAGGTCGTTGCTCTCTTCAAGCATGATCTTTCGGGCTGAGCCATGGGTCAAACATAGGACCAAGAAGAAGAATACAAGGGAAATGGCTTTCTGTGAAGCCATATTTGATTTTAATATGCTATGATAATTTATTGCATTAGGCTATGAAGACTACAACTTATATATATGGGAAATATAATGTCAAAGAGAGAGATACGTAAGCGACTGTGAAACATGTGACATGCGCCCATGCTAGTTTCCGGTTGTTAGATGGAAATGGTGGTCATGAAATTTTTGTGTTTCTTTGGAGCAACCAAACTTCTTGCCATGATTTTTTTTTGCCTAACATGATCCCGAGTTTTTTGAAAAGAAAGAAAACTTATATTTTATTCATGTTCTTGAGTGTGTAGAAATGAAAGAAAACTAATAGTTTTTATGTAAGGAATTAATCTTATACTATTTTGTTATTAAATTAAGGGATAATAACTTAAAAGGGTAATATATTTTTTGATTTGTACACATTTGGTCACTGAGTTTTTTTTTCGTCCACATTTACCCCTTCAACTTGTTAAACTGTACACATCCAGTCCTTATGACCGGTTATTCCATGTTAGCCGAGAAAAATGACTTAATAGGGTAATATATTTCTCATTTTGTACACATTTAGTCCTTAATATTTTTGTAAACATTTAGTCCTTAATTTTTTGTTTCAAAATAAGTCATTTTTGTTTTTGTACTCATTTAGTACTAGGTTTTTCTCACGACATCTTACGTGGGACAGTCATGGATGAGGTGTTTGGGGCTATTGATGCTTATGTCCATCGTGATCTCGACTGCTTGGTTGCGTAGGTCTTGTGGTTTGAATTAGGTCTTGTGTTCTGAACGTCGTAACTTCTTCATACGATAAACGTGTTCGTTTTTTAAGTCTGCTACAACTTTCGTTAAGATTACTCCCGTTGAAACGTAATATATTTTTAGTTACGATTTTATAAAAAAAACATTCATACATGCATTCATAGAAAAACGTATGGATATAAAGATAGTAAGTAAAAATATATTACTTTTTAACGGGAGTAATCTAAACGAAAGTTGTAGTAGACTAAAATACGAACGCATGGATATAAAGATTGTTAAAATCTGAGATCGTATGAAGAAGTTATGACGTTCATAACACATAACCTAAGCAACCAAGTAGTCAAGATCGCGATGAACATAAACATCAAAAACTCTAAACACCTCATTAATGATTGTCTCACGTAAGATGTCGTGAGAAAACCTAAATAAATCATTCATAAGTACTGAATGAGTACAAAAACAAAATAACTTATTTTGCAACAAAAAAAGTATTTTGGACTAAATGTGTACAAAAATATTTTAACATCCCAAATTTCAAGACCAAAAATTTCATTTTTGATATAACAATTTAGAAAACATTTATAAGAAAACATCATTGAGTCATATCATTTCATAAACCATAATCTCATGTCTCAAAATCATATCATAAAAATAGGTAACAATGTCAGAGTACAATCCCAAAAAATCTCATAGTGCGGAAATCATGCGTGTGTGTGATGTGCCGCTACCGTGCCGACTCCTTCCCCTTCCCTGAAGAGGTACCTGAAACAAAACTGAAAATTGTATGCACGAAGCTTAGTGATTTCCCCATCATACCACATACCATATGTAACACCCTGAATTCAGAAGACCTAGAAAGGAAAGGAAAACCTCAAAAATCAGAAGGCGACTCGTCGAGTAGGTGGGGTGACTCGACGAGTAGGAGCGCGTTCCGGGTCGTGGGTTAAGTGACCTACTCGACGAGTTGGAGGACCGACTCGGCGAGTTGGTCAGGGTTTGGGAAACCCTAAATTCGGGCCTTGGCACCCTATTTAAGCATCTTATTCTCCTCCTCTTGGTTCCATTCCCAGCCCCCATTGTCTAGAACTTAACCCACGAAACCCTAGATCATTTGGTGAGTGTGTGAGCCATTCTTGAGTATTTTGGTGTTCTTGGAGGCTAAAAGAAGAAGAAGGAGATTGAAGGTTCAAGGAGGAACTTGTAGATCCAACAACACCATCTCATTTCCATCATTTTCTGGTAATCAAGTCTTCATCTTGACTTATAGCTTCTTAGATCTATTTATGTCCACTTTATGAGAGTTTTGGTCCATGGAGCTTGATCTATGGGACAAGGATGTCCCAAGCAAAGATCCTTTCAGATCTGAGGTCCCTAAGAGTGGTTAGGGCATAAAGGTGCAAGCTTTATGCCACTAGAACTCCCCATGCAAGGTTTAAGAGGTTGTTATGGCCTTTTGAGCAAAAAGGGCCATACATGGATGTAAAGGCAGAGGCTTTACGTATTATTTCGACCGTAGAAGGTTAGATCTGGGTCCTGGATGCTTTGTGCCCGACTGAAATCGATTGAATAGATTTGGACTTAGGAGGACTCGACGAGTTGCTCTTAGGACTCGGTGAGTCAAGCCGTTTTCTTGCCCTAAACCCTTTGATAGCGGGTGTGTGTTGAGTTGGTAGAGGACTCAACCAGTTGGGTTCATTATGGACTTGAAGATCATCGTACTCGACGAGTTCAAGGATGAGCTCGGCGAGTCCAAGGCAATCTCCCAACCCATGAAGACGGACTCGAAGAGTTGTTCATAGAACTCGGCGAGTCATAGACTGGACACATTCATATGATAAAGATGAACTCGACGAGTTCAAGGATGAACTCGGCGAGTCGGTTGAAGATGGTCCCGATGTTATGGTTGAAGGTGAACTCGTGGAGTTCTTGCTAGACTCGACGAGTAGAGTCGGGGGGGTTGTATCATTTTGAAAGAATAGGGACTCGACGAGTTGGTGGACCAACTCGGCGAGTCAAGTCAATTGGATGTTGACTTTGACCTAGTTTGACTTTTGGGGGTATTGTAGTCTAAGTGTTATTTTGGGTATTGATAGTTCGGGGAGCCGAAGGATCAACAGTTCAGGAGCTTCCGGTTAGCAGCTAGAAGTGTTCAGCTAGTCTTCAGTAGTGCGAGGTGAGTCTCCTAACTGGTTGTATGGGTCTATGACCACGATGCCGACCCATCTAGTTTATGTATAGTAGGAAGACCCGGGGGTTAGCCCTAGGCATTATGTATGAAAGACCAGGAGGCGGCTCTTGGCACTCTGCATGATATTATGTATAGCAGGAAGACCCGGGGGTTAGCCCTAGGCATTATGTATGAAAGACCAGGAGGCGGCTCCTGGCACACTGCATGATATTATGTATAGTAGGAAGACCCGGGGGTTAGCCCTAGGCATTATGTATGAAAGACCAGGAGGTGGATCTTGGCACACTGTATGCTATTATGAATGAAAGACCAGGAGGTGGCTCCTGGCACACTGTATGCTGATTAGCCAAGTAGAGTAGTGTGACATCACCATTTTCACGGCCAGAAAAGACCGATTTTGTTTACGCTTTATAAAAATCAGAGTACCTCTTTTAATAAAAATGTTGCGGAATTTGTTCCCAGTAAAACATGATAAATACGTTATCAAAACATTTCCGAAGAAATGTATTTTTATACATTTTAAAACATTTGGGATGTCATCGTCAATACAGAAACATAAGCATAAACAGAACTTACATTCATTTACACTAGTAATTTACATCTCTTTAATCTCTCAGTGTAATGTAACTTCGTATCGACACCTGTGATACAAATAAGCTTGAGTGGGTCAGGTTGGGAAACCTGGTGAGTACACAGGGATTTCAATCCCACAATGTTATATCATATATATAATTTAGAACTCACAAAATATACAATTTCACCATATATATATAAGCAACTCTTACCCCACCCCGTTAATCCTTACAACGAGACTATCCATACTCTCGGACCTTAAATTTTACCTGTTACTTAACCCATACTCTCGGATCTAATTCATGCTCTCGGATCAATAATTGTGCCCATTCCATACTCTCGGATTAGGGACAAGTGTCTACGTGTAAATCCATTCTCCCGGATTAACGACGAATGACTATGTCCTATCCATACTCCCGGACTGAGGACGACTGACTACGTCTTAATCCATACTCCCGGACTAAGGACAACTGACCATGTCTTAATCCATACTCCCGGATTAATGACAGTTAACTATGTCCAATCCATACTCTCGGACTAGTGACAATGACTATGTCTAATCCATGCTCCCGGATCAATGACATATACTAAAGTTCTATTCTCTGAGTATAACTCACTCGTACTCGTAAGAAAATACTACCCAATATTCCTCATAATTAATTTAGGTTTACTCTTTATCCTAAATCATCATATATAATCAGGTATGTTCTTTAATACGTATTTCAGGCAACATCAATTAACTCGCACATAAACATATAATTAATACTTCAACCAATACTTGTATTAAAATCATGTTCATGAAAGGGACTATGCACTCACCTGCAAAGGTGGTGACTCGGTACTCGGACAGCACTTCGTTTACTTTAAAACAAATTTCCGTTGACAAAACCTGGTATCATTTCCACTAGAGTTTAGTCTAATGTTCAACGAGACTAATTAATAGTCTAGCTATTATTACTATTATATAAGCGTTAAACAATACTCTTCACCCACTATGTACAGACAGGGGCCAGACATGAAACACCCGAGGGCAGGATCATTTTGGCATATAGCACTTCTGAAATCCAACAACCCAGACGGCCCTTCAAACCGGATTCCCCGTACCGCGAGTGGTTAAAAAGATATTATAACGGCACTTATATAACCCGTAATAATAGCTCAAATAATTATTATAAGGTCATAATAACGTTACTATATTTAAATAAAAGCTATATTAAAAATTAGGTAGGCGTATCTTACCTACGAGGGGGTTTGGCTAGAAGCCGCGCTCTGCAAGGGCAGAGCTTCCGAGCCGAAAGCTCTTCTTCTCGAAGCCGTCGAGCGCTCTGGGGCTTTCTTCTAGCGATAGGGGAGTTTTGGGAGGTTTAGAGAGAGAGTAGAGAGAGAAGGGTGGAGGTGTGAAGAAATGAGAGTGGAAGGGGTTGTATTTATAGGGTGAAATATGGCTGAAATTAGTGCCACATGTCACCATCTAGTGGCAAGCCTTGGGGAGAAAGCAATGGCCAAG